CATAAGCTTGAGAGCGTTAGTCAATAAAATTCTTGCCATTGTATTTCCAACTCTTAAGTGTATTTCCTCCCTTAAGTAATTCAATTCTCACATTCAAGAAGCCATTTGAAAAGAAACTTATTATCTGAAGTCAAACCAATGTTAACAGAGATTAAAGGCCTCGTGTTACCCTACGTGTGTGCAGCTGTGTAACTGATATGCACATACACTACCACTATATGTGTCTGTAGTAACTACTTGTGACAATCTAAGGCTACGGCAATTTACGATGTTAAATTATCAGGTTGCTCCCTGGTAGTTTTGGTTCACGTCAGCTGGTGTTTTCCCAAATGGTTCCAGGGAGGTTCAGGGTTAGCTGAGGTCAGAGATTGTTCCCTGCTTGCAGGTACTTGAGTTGATAGGAGTTGTGGTGTAGGAATTTTATAAGAATTGTGGCTAACATCCATGTCATGCCATGCTACCTGGCCTCAGGGACAGGGAACGTTGTCTGGCCCATTTCATTTATAAGCATAGTCAAGCTTAGCTTGTCATTCTAAGTCAAGGATAAAAAGAGTATGTAAATCCTCAGCAGAGAACTAGTGCAGCAACAACGTATTACAAGCTGTTACCACAACAGCCTGCTGAAGCAAAGAGTGGTATCTACAATGCAAAGTTTCTACATAGAAACTTTGAAAATCAGCTTTTTATTATTATCATTTTTTTACAGTAATTCCACAGCAAAATGGGATGAATTTATTCATATTTCATGCATGAAATTCATCTTTTGGATTTCTAGAAACCAGAAACAAAATTGAGAATAGTCAGGTCTGAGGATGTGATGACCATTAAGAACATAAGTACATGGAGGGAAAGCAGTTAAGGGATTGTTACAAGTGAATGAGTTAATTGGATAGTAAGCTAATGACTAACTGCCATTATCATCACCAATTTTCTTGAAGTAACTATGCAGTAAGGTAGGAAAAGCATCTGTTATTATACCAACTGCGGTTATGAGTTAGAGAGTTCTGAGTGCCACTGGTGATCTGTTTTGCTTTATATCTCTGAGTTTGCTATGATAAAACAAGTAAGTGTATTGCGATCTGATTTAAAAGTTATCCAAAAATGGTAGCTTGCAGCTTAACAACCCCCCAGCTCATAAATAAATTACTTCATTTGACATCTCAAGAGCCTGGCATCCTTGAGGGCGTTGTAAAACTACAGCATGAAAGGATTTTCCATTTGCTCTGTATTCTGAAGAGTTATTAAAGGTGAGTACGTAATAACTGGATAATGACAGGGGCAGACAGGCAACACACAAGACTTAGTGCATTTTTAGAATGGGCTAAATAAATGGTACCTAAGCAGATAGCTCCAGAACTTAAAGGCATTAGCTGCTACCAGCTTTTTTTTGTGTGTGTGTGTGCATGCATGCACTTGTTTTGTTTTCATACAGAACAGTCTGGTAGAAGGCACTAAAAGAATACCAGGTTTTACCTTAGAATCTCAGCTTCCCTGCAAAGAGTGGCCAGCTGCTTTCTGCTGGGGCACTGCACCCGCTGCAAAGAGCAGGACCTTTTCATAGTTCAGCCATTAAAGCAGTGCCTAACAGTACACCAAAGTGGGCCACATCCCCGTGAGAAGTTGTCTTTTCACAATATTTTAGGCAGCCAATCAACATATCAAGGAGATGACTTTGAAAGCTGAAGCATTCTGGGATAGCCAAGGTGTTCTGCTACAACCAGTGAAAAGTGGTTTCACATTCAAGATTCAAGATGACTGACTTTAGCTTTTATAAGTATTGCTACCATAGCGTTTAACTCAGCATAGTGTAGATTACATTTACCTTTGAACATTATATCATACGAGAGCAATATTTCATCTTATTTAGGTGTCTTTAAGTAAAATGTACGTTTTGCTCTCTTCATTGTCCTAGTGTTTCAGCATATTTTTCCAAAAGTTACATTAGATGGGGGCAAAAGAAAACACACAAATGAATAGTGCTTCCAAACCACATACATTGACTGACTGAAGAAAATCAATAATATTTAATGGCTGGTAAGCAAAAAACAAAATCTCTCTTGCTTCCAACTACTGTCAATGGCTCTAATTAATTTCATTCAAGAGAAGCAACGAAGCTTCATTCAACCTAATCACCCCAGAGGAATGAGTCACCAACAGAGCAAAAAGAAGCCAGCTAACTTATAGTAAAAATCACAGTGGATAAATACGTTAGTTTACTTCTAATATCCTGTAGTTCTGTTTCCTCCCTTTCTATCCAGCAGTTTGCTTTTTCAACAAATGGTATTAATTTGCCTTTCAGTAAAATTGCCAGGTCTGAAATCCTTACCTTACAAAGGGATTTAGGAGTACCAAACAAGGCTTCTTTTACTTACCATCTTTATTTCTCTGTCTATCATACCTTGACTCACAGCCACCTTCTCTCCATCCTTTTTATTAAAGGACTTCAGCAAATCCTTACAACAGCCATCCAATCATCACAACACAATTGAATAAAAACTTAACAAGGTTGAGGACCTTAATTAGGTATCAAGCTTACCTAGAACCCTTCCACTTAGCCTGAACAGAAAATCTTTTTTTGTTCTTCCCCACAGAGATTCACAGTGTCTGAATCTATCTCATTGCTTTGAATCATCCTGCAGTCTTTTTGTGGTCTTTCAACAGATCTGCATACAGCAGACTAGCTTCTTAATTTAGGCTACTGAAGTGCACAAAGTTGTGCAGAGCGATTACCCTCTCACATGCTCTCTGGACAATGCACAGGCCTGCATCAAAATAAGCCAGCTGGCCAGTGCCTTCAGCCACCACCTTTTCAAGGGCCTTTTATCCTCATGTACCCTGTAGATCCACTTGACAAGTTCTGTCCTTAAGTTCTCCACTGCTAACAACCATATCCCTTGAACTTCAAACACACAGCAGCTGCCTGCTCTTCCTCTCTCAGCTGCCTTTTATCAAATGGTCCCTTCACTCTGCATGCTTGAAAGCACAAAGGCGATGCTGTGTCTTCCAGTCCTTTCATGGCATAGCACACAGAAGTTTAGCCCATCTCAAACATTCTTAATACCGAAGCTTGAGGTGTCTGTTTCACTCACTTGTCCCAGCTAGCTAGCTTCCAACATAAATTCATATAATCCTCTGAGGATGCCATTTCCCAGAATATCTGTACTTACTGTACAGCACAGACAATGAAAAAAAGAGGTTGTCTGAAAACCACTCCTTTTTCTAATACAGCTGGCTTTTTGCTTAATAGCACAACACACATACACACAGGGATGCAGGAAACCAAGCTGCTTATTCCTGCTGGCTCGGCACTCGGATGAACTGCAAGACAACATGACTCAGCCCTACATGGCAACCAAGTCCAGCTCATAGACCACAGCTCTTGGCAGTGCACAGAATATGAAGAGAATGACATAACAATGAAAGCAGAACAACAAACAAAAATAAGGAAAAATTTAAGAAGGTCATGAAAATACGTTAGATCATCTGATTTACCCACAACCAAGAGAAAGACAGCAGGAGGAAGAGCAGTCACTACCGACCTAATCTTACGCAAGCAGAGCTCCAGATGGAAAAAAAAAAAAAGATAGGGAGAGCTGCCAGTGAAGAGTATTAAATCAATGCTGAAATCAACACAGAAAAGAGAATAATCCAAAGCCTACAATGAACTGAGAAGCTTCCAACCCACTTAAGGCAAGTGCCTGCCAAATTGTATTTTAAAGCTAAAAAGGAACAATGATCTTTGAGGGAGACATTAATGATGAGATTTTAGTTGTTGTACCTATGCCCACAGTAGTAACTTGACACGTTTCATATCAACAGGAAGATACCTACATTAAAAATACCTGTAAATGACATTATAAATAAAAGGAACACTGAAATGCTCCACAGTAGTGTTTCTACTGTTTTTCTTCAACTGCTGTTTTACTAAAAGCTAAAAATTAGGGGGGGGAAAAATCAAGAACGTTTAGAAACAACTACAGAAATCCCACACTTACTGACATTCGGAAAATCAAAAGCAGTCTCTAAAATAATTATCTTCGTAAAATAACCACAAAGCTTTAAAGTGCTTTGGCTTCTTTGTATGATAATTAATTGTAAGATTAACACTCACAAAATGTAAGTACACCCTGGAACGTCTTCAAAGGGCTCTGAAGTCAAACGCCTTGCACCCCATGTGCCTACGCTTCACTTTCTCCTCTCCAGTGTTCACCGGTAACATAAACATTTGAGAAAAACTGGTCCCTGAAACAAAAGTGTGGCATTCATCAGTTGGGGTTTATTTACCATACCCCCACAGAAAGCCCACATAGAAAGTAAACACGCGGGGAAGTTTTTAACATATATCCACTCGTTGCCCTGAGGAACTGCTGTCAGCATCTGCAGCTCTCTGGCCCATCCTTAACACAGGAAACCTCACTGTTGGCTTAAAAAGAAAAAAAGCTCTCTTTCTCATAAGAGGAGAAAACAGACGTGAAGAACGAAGAGAAGCTCCTGCTCTTTGTGGCCACAACAAAACTCTCACAAGTGTGAACAAGAGCTGTACAGGCAGAAAACACCAGAAGGCAACTGATTCTCAACACACATTGCGTGCTTCGACGAAACAGAAGCACGGCAGCTCCACGAGAAGGACGCACTGCCCAGAGCCCCGCACCATGCAACACAGCCCCCAAAAACCGAAACCCCCCACACCTCATCCAGCCTCCGAGGGCTTCAAGCCACCCCCTCGGGCGGGCACGCGTGAGGGGGCGGGACCGGAAGCTCCTCCTCCCTCCTTCCAGCCCTCCCACTGGCCTGTTTTCCTATCACTCTCATCATCGCCGGCCCCCGCTTCCCCGCCCCTGTCCAGCTTCAAGTTCACTTGCTGGCTTCCACGTCAAGCAAAGCCACCTCTGTGTTCTGATTGGCTGCGGAGAGGGCGGCAGTTCCCTCCCGAGGGACCAGGGCGGGGTTTCGCTAAGTCGCAGCCCACTCCCCTCCCGGCGCGCATGCGTGGGGCCGAGCCGTGGCCTCGGGGCGGGCATGTTGCGAGGAGAGGAGCGGCCGCCAGAACGCCGCGGGGCGGGGGAGGGAACGGGGCAGCCGGAGCTTCGCCAGCCTCACTTTCTCGGATCGCGCGGAGACCACAGCCTGCCTGGGGCTGTGAGCTGTGCTGCATACAGATCTGTGCGTGTGCCTCTCTCTATCTCTTTTCTAGCGCGTTGCTGCCGAACGCTCGCTCGCCGCACACGCGCGCACTCAGCGGCGGGTAGGGCTGCGGGGCGGGCAGGGCGGCGGGGCAGCGGCGCTCCGGGCTTGTCCGCGGGGCAGCGGCAGCGCCGCAGGGCTCGGCTCCGGGAAGAGCTCGCGCGTATATCGGCGGCGATCGCCGACGCTCGTTGACGGCCGGCGCAGCGCAGCGGTAGCGGCGGGCGCGGGATGCGGTCCGGCCGCCCACCGGGGCGGTAAGCGGGAGAGCCGAGACGCCCCGCCAGCCGCGGCCCTGCGCCCTGGGGCGCGGGTAGGCGGAGGAGCCCACGCTCGTTGCCGCTCTGTATGTAAGTGTCTGGCTGTCTGTCTGCCTGTCCACGGCCTCTCTGGCTGCTCCTTCGCTCCGCTCTGATTTATTTTCTCCTCTCCTTCCCTTTGGCCGCGGCTCGTCTCCCGTTTTTGTGGTCCCCTCCCTCCCAGCCCTTGGCGGAGCCGTTGACAATAAATCCGCGATGGCCTCCTCCGGTATAAACACAGCCCAGGTGGGCATAGGTTGTTTGTCACGGGAAGTTAAAGTTGTTCCTAAACGTGCCCTGCTCTTGCCCTTTCCTGCCTGTGAAGAAGGAAGTGTTACCTCGCTGGCTGCGTGACAAGATGTTCTGGAGCACCTTGTGAGTCTCTGTTCTCTGTCCCCACGGCCAGCCTGGTTCCCAGATGGCCAACTCCCAGAACGGCCGGAACCCACGCAAAGGACGGATCCTGGGCTTCATCGATGCCATTCAAGATGCTGTGGGCCCCCCCAAGCAGGCAGCTGCCGACCGAAGGACTGTGGAGAAGACCTGGAAGCTCATGGACAAAGTGGTGAGTGTGTATGTGTGCATGCTGGGTGAAGAATGAGTGTATTTAAAAAGATGCACGTGGGGAAACAGCATCTTCCTGCAGCTTCAATTGCTGTGCTCTGCGTGCTATGGAAAGTAAGGATGACTTCTTCAGTCTTAGGTTATTTAAACACGGTTCATCTCTTTTTTTTTTTTTTCTTCCTCTTTCCTGTGGCCTCCGGCTATGTGTTTTTTTTATTTAATCTTGGTTTGTGTTGGGAAAACAAATATGTGTGTTTGCCTCAGGCTATTGTTATTTTCAGATCCCTTAAAATGACTCAAACTTGAAAAGCTGAGCTGTCCTAACAAGAAACTGCTTAACTTGGTCTTGTAATCACGTATTCTGTGTGTTTTGTGTTGGATCACGTTGTTAGTCTGCAAACAAGACCTCTGAAGCATGAAACTTAGTTAAGCTCATCGTCCTTTGAGACATACTCATGATGGTAATGTAGATACATTTGTGCTTTTAGGAATGTGTGTGGGGACTGGGAGATGTCACTCTTGTCAGTTCTGTAAATAGATTTGTATGGCACACCTAACTTCTCAGTGTGTGCTCAGCATTTCTATGATTTTTAAAGTACTTCGAATTTTCATTCTGAAACTAGTAATACACTAGCAATACATTCTATCAAAAGTTATTTTTAAGGAAACAGGAGGATAGACTTCAGTTTTCTGGATCTTCTCCTATGTCCCTGAACCAGCCCCAGAAATTCTGTTTAGCATTATTCAAGATAAAACATCGCTGTAGATTAGCTAGGAGAGTTTCTTACCAATGATAGGAATAGTTTGATTTATAGCACAGATAGCTGTTGAGGAGGTGGAGGCACTCTATTTTGTGTATGAGTGATGCTTGACAGCTTCCTCTTGAAGCTGTTAGCCTTAGGTCCTTAAATCAAGTGTTATTACCTTTTAACTCCAGGAATTACTTGTAACTGTTTGCTTTCCCTGTGGCTCTTCTGAAATGCAGGTGTTCAACACCTCTTGAAGTTCCCCAGTAGTTAAGCTGCCATAGCAGAGAGAGTTAATTTAACATAATGGGCCTTGATGAGTAGTGATTTGGAAGTATTTGATTTTTTTTTTTTTTTTAAGCTACAAGAATAGCAACAGTATTTCTACCACAATTTCTGACAATGATTATAAACTTAGGAAACAGCCTTCATACAAATGGTATTGTATGAATTAACACAAAGTCTTTGGCATTTTCCTGTTACTGATTAGGATGCTGTAAACAGTGAGCATCTTGTAATGAGAAGTGCAAATATAAACCCTTGGAAGCAGGCACTTTTCTTTGGTAGAGGGAAGTTTTCTGCTCGTAAACCAGGAACCCAATGTGTCATTGCTGAAGCCATGTGGGGAATGTACAGCTTAATTTACAAGTCTGTATGGTACAGTTGTCCTTGGGTTGTTTGTGTGTCCACAAATACCGGAGAATCTTAAGCCCAGTGCTTGGACTTGCAGATTACTTTCACTCATCTGTTATGTTAAAGTTAGTTGTTGACAGAGCATTGGAGCAGCCAGCAAGGCCTGTTCTGTAAAATTCACTGAACACTGTACTGTGCTTTCTTTTTTTCATTTTACTGGATAAGTGTCCTCAATTTGGATCTTTAATGTATCCTCTTTATGCTGCTCTCAGTTAATCAAATTTTGTTTCCAAATTATATTAAAGTATACCAGACAGGATGATGTCATAGTGTGAGAATGCTGTAGCTTTCTGCTTGAATTTTTAGTGTTTGGTGCTTAGAGTGAAAGGATGTGTTTGAGTAAATTTAATATGTTGGCAAACAAATTTAAGTCACAGCCCCATGCAACAGTAGGCACAAGAAGACCATTTTGTCATCTGCCTAAATTCAAAACCAAGGATTAAAGTCAGAAATAGAAACCTGCTCATTCAAGCGTTTCTTCAAATCCTATTTTTGCAGCATGTCCCATGACTGATGTCTGTGGTTGTTCACTGATAAAAGTAATGCCCAGTGAAGGCAGTAGGCTATGCAAAGTCAGTGGGATGCCACCCAAGGTGAGGTTGTGGCGTTGAGGTCTGTTTTTGCTTCTTGTAATAACAGTCATCATTCTTGTTTGTTCTTTGTCTATAATAGCTGTGATAACTATTGTTTTGCTGTGGTTAGGTGGCTAAAGTTTTCTCCCATTCTAAAGAAGCGAGTGAAAGGGAAGATGAAAGCAAAGCAAAGCTATTATTTGACCAAAGGATGGAAAAGAGTAGTCTTAAAAACTAGAAGCAGAGTTCAGTTTTTCCCAGTTTACATTTCCTTTCCTCCTTCCGTTCTGTACCTTTCCTTGCATGCTCTCTGCTTTTTCCTCTGTTAGTAGGTGGTATCACCTGTATGAATTACTTGTCTTCAACAATAAGATATTAAGCATGACCACCAATGTTGGCATTTTATAAGATAGGTTTTATGGTGTATGTAAAAGCTCTGCCTAATGAATTTAAGACCTTGAAACTAGGAATGCATTACTACTGGAAGATGATGGTTATCATGGGAAGAACTTTGAGAGAGAATGTCTATTATATAAAGCATGGGAGCAGTTCATTTAATTTACTGCTCTGGCTGTTTAGACTTGGCAGTGCTATTGTGCATGTTATACTATGGTGGGTTTTAAGCTGGTGGAATTGTGACATGTTCTGAGCAGGATTTTTTTTAGAAAACAGGAATATTGCAGGAACTTTCAATCATATTTTTTTTCAATACACTGGCTCAGAAAATGATGCTTTCTACTGGGAAGGTTGACAAAAGGAAGTGTTTGTGTGCTCGTGCTCTCTCTTGACTCGCCTAGTTGTTTGACATTGCAAATAAGGATTTGCTATTTTACTAATTATCCAAGAGCAAATTGGAGTGTTATCTCCAAAGCTTGTACTACTGACCTAGTGAGTAAAAGAAGTATTACTGCTGTAACTTAGTAAGCAGTAATTTTTCCTTTGAACTGACATTGCCAATAGACAAACTGTTAACTGAATATGAGCAGCTGGAGAGCAGTTCAACAGCTTGAAACCCTGTGCTGATTGGGTGTTATTTGCAACAGAGTGCATTAATGCACAATCTTGCAAATCCATTAAATGTTGTTGTTCCAAAAGGGATCTAGAAAAGGAAATCAACAGTCATAACCACGGCATTTTCTAGCATATTACCTGATTGAAGTTGATATGAAGTTCTATGTCTGCATAGATTATTTGTGGATAAGAATTTAAATAGAGAAATGGAAGCTTCTCCTTTCCTAATTGGAACAAAGTATATATGACTCTCCAAAGTCAAGTGTTCCTCTGGGTATGTAATGTAAGCATTGTTACTTTGTATTCTACCAGCATGGAAACATATTGTACGGTTGTGACACCATAGATGTTCAACAACTGCTTACTGCTTGCTCAGCTGAAAAGATTGGTCACTGGTCACTTCCAAATATATTTTGATGAGAAGCCTTCTTTTGGGGCAATCATAGAATCCTTAGATTTGAAAAGAATAGTTAAAGACCATCTAGTCCAACTCTCCTGCAATGAACAGGGACATCTACAGCTAGATCAGGTTGCTTAGAGCCTTGTACAGCCTGGCTTTGAAATTCTCCAGGGAAGGGGCATCCACCACATCTCTGGGCAACCAGTTCCAGTGCCCCCCACCCCCCTCCCAATTGTAGAAGACTCTTTTCCTTGTATCTAACCTAAATCTATTCTCTTTAAGCTTGAAACATTTTTTCTTGTCCAATCAGAACAGGCTTTGCTAAAGAGTCCATCCCCTTCTTTCCCATAATTCCCCTTTAGATACTGGATGGCCACCATCAAGTCATCTCAGGGCCTTCTCTTCTCCTGGCTCAATAGCCCCAGCTCTCTTAGCCTGTCCTCATAGAAGAGATGTTTTATCATTTTTGTGACCCTCCTCTGGACACGCTCCAATAAGTTCATGTCTCTCCTGTACTGAGGACTCCGCATATGGATGCAATACACCAAGTGAGGCCCTGCCAGTGCCAAACAGAGGGGCAGGATCACCTCCCTTGTGCTGTTGGCCACACTTCTTTTGATGCAGCCCAGGATACAGTTTGCTTTCTGGGCTGTGAAGGCACACTGCTGGCTCATGTCCAGCTTGCCATCCACGAGTAACCCCAGGTTGATCCTTTCATCTTCCAGCTTGTCCCCTAGTATATAAAGGATATTGCCTTTACTCAGGTGCAAGACCTTGCACTTGCCTTCGTTGAACCTCATGAAGTTCTCTTGGACCCACTGCTCAAAACTGTCTAGGTCTGTCTGGATGGTATCACATCCCTCTGAAGCACTGAACAAACCCCACAGTGGAAAATAAAATTCACTGCGTTTAATGTAATTTCTGGCAGGAATGAAGTATATGTTGAAGGAGTGTCATCCTTTCACTTCATTTATTTTCTTGATTCACCTTCTTTTGTTATGTCTTTGTATTTGATAGCATTGTGTGTTGTGTTTTTTTTCTGAAGAATTGTTTTGGTATCTTCAAAGCTTCACTTATGCTGTGTTATTTAGAAATGCTTTTTAATACTTTGACTTTTTTTGTAGTGTGGCAGAAAGTACTAGATCAGTAGAGGTTTTTAAGGTGTAGTTTTGGAAGTGTAAGAGCACTGATGCTCTGATTGTTTAGTCCATTCAACACAGCTGAAAGCATCATTTAGCAGGTCTGCATGTTAGCTGTTTTAGCTGTGTTGCTTTCCTTTCTTTGTCCTTGACTAGCATTAGGTGTTAAAACAGATTATGCTGGGGCCGCTATACTTTGCTTGAGTAAAAGTTATTTTGTCATACTATTGCAGGGCTTTCAACTTTGCAGTGAAAAGTAAATAGAAGTTACAGCTTGTTACAGCTTTCTGAAAGAAGTCCATTGTCTCAAAGAGAAGGGCTATCTATTATTCTCATATCTGAAGATGTTACAGAATAAAGCTTTAAATCTGCATTGAAGTATGTTCAATTTGAAGACCAGCTTTTTTGTGCATGTCTTTGGGAGACAAATGTTATTGTAGTGTTTTTCTTTTTTTTTTTTTTTTTTTCCCCCTATGGGGACTAGAGTATGCTTGTCTGGAGGTTTTTGAGTTAACCATTTCAAAGTCTGTTTCTGTTAGATTAGGGCAGTCTTCTAGTTATTCACAGATAGAATTGCTCTCTCTATTGTTCCTGTAGGTCTAGAGTAAATACTTGAATTTACAGTGAGATAGTTGGAAGGAGCTTAGCCTTTCTTAGTTTACTTCAGTGGGAGAAACATTTCTTAGTAACTCACTACCTGATTCCTTTTTTTTTTTGAGTCTGCTTGCTAAATATATACATGCTTGCTTTCAGTCACAATACACAAATCATGTAGTGATATGATTCATGTCCGCTGCTGAAGTGTTGATGAGGACCATTCTGTAAAACGTAGTATGGAGACTTTTATTTTTGTTATTTTGTTTTGCTTTGAGTTCTGTTTTCTTTTGAAGAAAGGTATGTACACCACTTCTGTGGATTGGTAAATCTTTTGCGTCAGCAGCTGTCATTTCTTATTGCTTGCTTTTAATTGTGAACTGCTGTAGTACGTGTCAGAACATCCTGACTCTGGAAACCATATGGTTTACCAGCCATTTCTTTACAAACTGACTTCCTTTGGGCTGAAACCTTGTGCACTCTATAAAAGTAAAGAAAGCCTTGTGCTACTTCACTGGACCCCTAACTCAAACTAAAAATTAGCTTTCTTTTTTTCTGTCCACTGGGAATGTATAAAGCTAGTTAAGCTGTCCAATACAATTTTTTTGTATGATTTTTTTTCTTAAAGAGTTGTTTTGGAGATAAGAGTTCTGCTAATGTTCTGTGTTTATTTTTATAAGTTGAAGAGAAGACATAGTTGGGTAAACCATGACCACAGGATCTTGTTCTGATGTGTGTATGTGACTAATATCACCAGACTGAAAAATACTTTCTAGAATATCTGAAAGAGAAAACAATTCTTCACTTAAACTGGATGTTCTTTTTATGTTTGAATGGACTCGCTGTTTAAAATGCAACATTCAGCAGAAGCAATTTTTTTTTTAATCCAGGATAAGCAATTATTTTAATTGTAGTTTAGTATATACAAAGCCATTCACATTCTGCTTGTTGACACATCTGATTGAAAATACAGACTTCAGAAAGAGAGTTAATTCTTTGATCATGAGATTTAAGAAAAGTGAGGATAAATAAGCAATTTAAATGATTGCAGCCTTCCCTGCTTGTAGTCTCTTCTCACTGCTGATTATTTTCCTGAGTAAATATTTTCCTCCTTTGAGCTGTTATTTTTTGTTACTGTGCTCCTTGCTCCAGAAGGCTGTGACATCTAATCAGTGATATTGATTGGTGGCATCTATAGTTTGCTTTGAGAGAATGTCTATCTTTATTGATTCGTGTTTTTATTAAATCATAAGTTGCAGAAAACAGAAGTTCACATGGAAAAGGTCTGCAGTTTTCATAAGGGTTTCTCTGGGAAAATTTTACTCTTATCCTTAGGATTGCAGTTCTTTCTTAACTCTACTACAAAAAGAAATTAATGTGTTCTACATATATGACTTCCCAGTCTGTCTGCACGTGTGAAATTCTTTGCTCATATTTCTGAAATCTTCTTAAAGAATTCTGTCTGTCAGCTTAATTTTAGCATAACAAAAATAAAATTTGTAATCTCCATTTTAGGTCTCTCGTTAGTTCCTTTCTTCATCACTCAGGCAACTCACTTACTTGAACTGTTATTTTTAAAGCTGTTTCTGAATCCTTCAGAAAGCGTGATCTTCTGTATCTGTTTATTCTTTTAAAACTTATCCAGGGGTTTCTATGTTGTCCATCAGTATGTTCAGGTTTCCTTGTCTGACCTTTAAAGAATACCACGACATCCGACCTGTGTTCTTTGAGAATGTCACTGTGGGCATCTGCTAACCCATGGTTTTGACTGTGATGTTTTGTTCTGATAACATTATTTTTTTTATCACACTAAATAGAAACATCTTTTCCAAGTCTCTTGCATTTGTGGTTTGCAGCTCTAGAATTCATCACTCACTAATGAGATTACCAAACATCTTTGCTTCTTTTTATTTCCTTCCAGCTTTCTCTTTATCTTAGGAGGAATTCCTTTATGATCCACTTAAATTATTCTATAGCTTGCCTTGAAGACCTTCCTTATTGTTTGTACCTAGAAATACTTAGCACACTCACTACCATGTTGAACTGTGCTGTGTTCGTGTCCTTGTGTTTGCCTGTATCCATCTGCTGTCTTTTTGTTTCCCACCGAGACTAAATTTCTCTGTGGGAAGGACAATCTCTTTTACAGTGCATCAAATGGATTTTTGAGCCATTACTTGGTCTAGTATCTGGAAAAGCAGTATAAATCACTGAAATAACAGTGGATCAGTAGTGTGAGGGAACTGTTGTGAATGTTATGTTTTAAGTACTTTCTTTGAATGATATTTGTGTTTCTGTAGTACTAATGAGTTTGCACTGTGCTAGACGTACTTTTTTTTCACTTGTCAGTGCTTCTGTTCATTCTTCCATCTCCACTTCTCTAATCACGGTTACCTAAATCTCACTGTGTGATATGTTTTGGTATATGTTTCATTCTGAGAAAGAAATAATTATGTTTTTACTTGACTGTGTGTAATCCATGAAAGTTCTTAATGATGTAGGTCGAGAAATGGGGTGAGGAGCTAGCAATATAGATTTGAGTTCACAAAGGGATCTATATGTTTTTACAACCTTGTTAATTATCTCAGTAACCCTGTTAGTTATCTCAAAAGAATTGTCAAAGTCACTAATATACACTATGACAATCCCCAAATGATACCCATAACATTTTTATATGCCATGGGCTTATTTTTCTTATAGATATGTATACACACATGTACACTTGTGTAGGACATGTCCCTCTGCAGTGTTTTAGCTGAACTTGGGTAAATCAACTGTATCAATACAATAGTGTTCAAAGCCTTTTAGTTTTGCTTCTTCACTTTCTACAGAACAAACTACCAGATAATATTGGGTAGCAAAGACATAATTACTCTATGGATGTGTTCTGGAAACAAAAACAAAAATGTTTCTTCCAGAAACATTTCCATTGAAGACTGAATTCAAGTAAAGGTATTGAATTCAGCTGAATTGATTTATTTTTTTTTTTCTTTGAATACATAATTCAGTTATTTTTTGTACCATTTAGGAAGGTAATGATTCCAGGTCTGAGAACAGGTTATTTTTCTATTACTATGGAATTACTCTTGGCATGATATGCAATACTGTTTTGCTAGTATACTTCCTACAGTGGCATATAGTGGGCAGGCAAAGTTTTTCTTCCTTTAAAAGCTATGTAAGCAAACTATGTTTGTCATAAATGTGACAGCATTATGTCAAACTTGATTTCCTTTGACATCGGGGCTATGTTGAGATTTCATGGAATATAAATGAGGTAGGACTTAATTCTTCATTTCTGAAAGGTAGAGGAACGTGCTTGTGCATTTCTTAAGATGTCAGGTCTTTTTTTGCCCCCAACATATTTGTCTTTTAAAATTTATTTATTTCTGCTTGTAGGTAAGACTGTGCCAAAACCCAAAGCTTCAACTCAAAAACAGCCCACCCTACATTCTTGACATTTTACCAGACACCTATCAACATTTGCGACTTATACTGAGCAAATACGATGACAACCAAAAACTTGCACAACTCAGTGAAAATGAGTATTTTAAAATCTACATTGATAGTCTCATGAAAAAATCAAAACGGGCTATCAGACTCTTCAAAGAAGGCAAGGAAAGAATGTATGAGGAGCAGTCACAGGACAGGTAAGAGAAACATTTAAATATGAAGTAGATTTTTTGTCTGCATATTTAACACTGTTTGTCTGCAGATATTGTGTCTTGACATTTTTAATTATTTAAAGAACAGAACTATTTATTGTTTGGATTCATTGACCCTACATGTCAAACAACAATTTGCTGCATTTGTTCTGCTGCGTACTCTTATCTGTCACTTTGCGACCTTTAAAACCAAGAACATTTCCTTCATAAAACATTAATTTCATTGTAATTACTTGTTCACAAGGCCTTACAGTATGTAGTTATCTCTGTGGCAGAGAGCGACTGGTATCTGGTCTGAGCTTGACCTCTGTAGGTCACTCCTTAAAACTATGGGAGCCATAATGGATGTTGACATACAGCTTTCACAAGTGATGAATTGGAACAAAATATTATTCATGTTTTTGAGATACTGCACAATATTAGTATAAGGTGAAGCTGATGTTAGTCAGAGCTGAGAAGTCTGTTCAGAAATCTAATGGATTCCTGATTTGCAATGTTTCCATTTTAATAACCAGGATGAGTGTCTACTTTGTGTACTGTTGCAGTGGTGGGTAAGAAGGCTATTAATATTTGATGTTAGTACATATAATTTTCAAAATGATATTTCAAGGATTTCTGTGGAAAAATCTGCAGTTTTGTTTTGAGAATGGATAACAGCTGTGATGTGACAATTGGCATCTGTCATTTGTGATATATATTTAGACCTATAGACAGTGAATGGACAAATTGTATCCCTGCTGTTCTGTCTGCACCTGAGCATACAGATAGGTTTGTGGTATAGTTTTACTGCTGGTGAAAATGGTGGTAGAAGCAGTGAAACGTCCACGTTACTGTAAATGTCACTGCTGTTATGTTTGAGTGATGCGTGTGTTCTATGTTTGAGTGATGCGTGTGTTCTTTCCACATATTCAGTAATGATTGTAGCTATTCAATATAGTGGCAGTCCTACGGTGCTTGATAACTGACCTGAAGCTTGCTTACCATGCAAAGATTTTTATTTTTGGGAAGTATTTAAAGACCCTTCAATTATGAAGATGCTTAATGCAATTTACCTAACAGGGACAAAAATGCAGTTCAGACTACTTGAGTGATGAGTGTAGATCTTGACGTGTTCTGTTTGTATTCCTAAGTACAATAAAAGCATTCATTTAGATGCAACCTTACTAGAAGTTCTGGAAGAATCGTTTAGCACTGAGCATATGGTGTCTTCCCTTAATAACCTGTATTTGTTGTGCAGACAAATGTCATTGTGTTGCAAAGGAAATAAGAACTTTTATGACAAGGGAAATTTGACATAAATGACTGCTTTATGTAAACAGGTTTTATTTCAACTTCCCTGTGGTGCACGAAATGCAGATTTATTTGTGGATTTTCTTCCAGTTAGCAATAAATTAAAGCCAGTTTCAGCATGACTTTTTCAAAAACAGCCTGCCATAAGTACTGAGCAGTCATCTAAAACAATATTCCAGGAACTCTATCTAGTTGCTAGAATTGCTGAATTGCCTTCTTTTCAGTGTCCCACTTCCCTTTCTGCATAAGAGTGACAGTGGTGATTCAAGGACGTCTTATGTAAAGCAGACAGTTCTCGAAGGTGCAGTTAGCATTTACTGTCATTTATTGGGTTCATTTTTATAAGGTGATTGGATAGGAAGGATTTTAAAACAAAACATAGTAATGAAGTGCAATGATTGACATTGCTCTTTAAATTTGTGTTAGGGAAGCTGATAGTTATGTTGCCAGACTGATACAGAGTTTGAAGCTTGAGGAAGGAAATGTAATAGAAATGTTTTTTTGTGCTAAAACAGCTAGATGTGCTTCCTCCATAAGGCAGATTCTGATGTGCAGTAGAAACTAAGGCTAGAATGTTTAAACAAAACATAACAGAAGCATTGTTCCAGCAGTTTATGCCTTTTGCCCTTGTAAGTTAAATATACATCTCTGTGACTGAAGTGTCACTTCTTCATCTCCTGGCAATGTTTTGTCTGTATGCATGTCCCAGTATTAAGTTGAATGAAGGTATCCTTATTTGCTCAAACCCTGTGACCCTGCTTCCTCATCTGTGCTTTGACACACTTGATCATTTAAACTCTTGATAAGTTAGTAAAAGAAGCTGTCTATTTAGCTTCTTCACTTCAAAATGTTTGCATTAACTTAAGTAGTTTAATTGTTAACTTTATTTAAAAAAAAAAAAGCATACAAGTGAAAACTTCAATATTTCTCAAGATGTTTTTTAAAAAGGCAGTCAGATTGTATTTAAAAAAAGAAAAAAAGCCTTTGATATGTTGACACCTGGCCAGTTTTTCTGGTTTTCAATCTTGCTTTCCTGTTTTCTTTTCTGTTAGTATCTGTGTGATAGGTGGATAAAAAGATCATTGCTGGGGGGTGGAGGGTTTGGGGAGCAACTGGCTCCATTTGGAAATGTTCTTTCTCTGTATATTTAAATGGTGTGCTTGTTAATCTACCAGTGCTGTTGAATAATCTTTTAACTGTTTATAATGATGGTACTCTTAGGAACCAGAGAGAGCCAATATACATGTGAGTTTTGTCTTAACTCTGTTAACACACAAGTTTATTATGAGCAACTTCATTAATTTTATTTCTCAGAGATGCTGTGATGAAATAGGGTAGAGTGATAGCCAGAATACCTATAAATGACTAAAGCCAAGAACCTAGGTTGTAGCACTGCTGCCTTTCTACATTCTGTGCCAGCGTATGTGAGAGGCATTTGAATGGTTGGTGCCCTCCTTTGTGTTTAAGACAAATCCTAGAAAGCAGAGTATGTATGGCTTACAAGTTATCTTTCACATACATGAGTTTTACCCACTTTCTGGATTTGGTGTCTAGCTTAAAATTATATCCTTTTGCTTAATGAGGTAAAAGTTAATATTAAATAAGTTCTGTTAGATTTATCAGTCACGCTTTGCCAGTCTACATAGAAGTTTTTCCAAGTGTGAAGTAGTTTAAAGACTTGTCATTGATTTTATTTTTTAAAAATTATCAACATTGAATTAAGATTATTGAATCAAGTTGAATCTACTTAAGGCTTTTCTATTTCTTTTGAGGGTCTTCTGATCTTTTTTTCCTTTTGTTGTTCTTTGGAAAGGAATTATTTCTGTGAAGTCTACACTTCCATTTGTCTTCTGGACACGTTTCTGAAACACAGCAAAGGTAGATGCTATAGGTTGGCAGTTCTTAAAGATAAATTTTTGCCAGGTGTTGAAAGCAGGCACATAAGTTACAGTGGTAAGAATAGAGGAGAAATAAAGTGGCAACTGGGAGATGGATTCATTCAAGATGTTGAAATGTGAGTCTTTGAAACTAACAAAACCTTGAGCTTCCCTGTGGTTACCTATGGACTGTGTCCTTGGAAGGGTTCCTCTTCAGATTGTTCTTTGTCTACTTGTTCATTGTCTACTTCAGCACTTCTGGGACGAGAGAAAATGTGAAACTGATGTGTGTATGTATTTTATAAATTTTCTAAATACTACTTGATTCAACCTGAGTTAGTTGGCTGCTTGGCTTTAAATTGCATTACAGAGGTGGAATTGGACAAAAATATGAATACTAAGTTGCAGGCAGCACAGCTAAAGCTGAAAAGGTTATAGAAGCAATGAAGTTGGTTTGAGGGTAAAGTAGGAGGATAATTAAGCAAGTAGGAAGATAATCAAGAAAGACCCTCAAGATGACTACAGCATTCCTCTTCCCTACAGGAGGTCTAAATTCACTTGCTTGTTTGGCTGCTTGGTATCTTGAAAGAGACTGCCTGCTTCTAGACTGTTTTCAGTGTTTTGTTAGTTATTTGTACCTCCAGGTCATGTAATAGTTCAGATTCTTCTTTTCCACTGTTCATGCGTTCCCTTGCTATATGAAGCTGTGAATTAGTGTGTTTACAAGATACTCCATTTTTTTTTTCCTTCAGTTCATATTGACACTTGAGCGCAGTTAAGGTTCTTGAACAAAGTTCCTGAACTGACATATCAAAGTACAGAGTACTCTCAGTAAAGACCTTTCTACTGCTTACTATGAAGCACAGATTTGATAAGAATTTACAAGGCTTATAATTTGGCTAGCTTTGTAACTTGATTGCATCTCCAGGCAGAGGAGACTGAGAAAAGAATAAGGAAGAGTGCACTTGTAGTTTAAGATAACTTTCTTGGACAGGTTAAGATTGTTTTGTTGATGGTTTTATTATTTTTTGAATCTGTCTCTTGTACTTTTTAAATAATTGTAGTGGCTTTTTTAAAGAGCCAGTTGACCATTGGTCAACCTCAGCTAAGTAACTTGATAGTTGTTGAATGGTAGCCTTCACCAAGGTTTGAAATTTAAATTGTAATGTTTTGGTGAAAGCTATTTGCACTTTTGAGGATCATCTGATTTGTCCATTTTCTACTCATTTTGTTTTGTTAGTCTTCAGTAAATTGTGATCTGAAGACTGTCTTTAAGTACTACAGGTCTGTTGCCTAACATGATCTCTAAATTTCTATACTATATCAACACTAGTTAGGTAAGAACGCAATCAATACATTTATTTTAATCTTGCTGAAGTTGAACTTAAAAATTAGAGTCCTTTCCTCTACTGTCTGTAGGTATCTATTTTTTTAGATGATTCTGTCAGTACAGTTTATGGAGAAGAATCAACAGTGTTGTCCTTGGGGAAAAAAGACAACTCTTTCTATGTGTAACCTATAACAGGACAATTAGCAGTGGAACTTGGTGTATTAAAATGAAGAGGCTTCTGAGAGGGGGAAAAAAAAAAGTGCATAAGTGATTGGATTAGAAGAAAAGGAAATGCGTTGTTTTTTGAAAGCTTTTATATTATGCTGAGAATTTTTACCTTCTTTCTCCATTTCATGTGATGTAAAACCAGATGTAAACCAAAAGAAATTTAATAAATCCTTTGGCATACCTGAACCATATGAGTAACTGAGTTTAATGCAAATAAAGTAAAACGTACGCTCTTTGCTACTCTTAGTTTTAGTCTAAAT